TTTTTTAATGACGGTTGCCTTTCCCCTAACATTGAAGCAATAATATATTCACTAAAATAAAGGTCTCATTTTTCATCAAAGAAAAACACTCTACATATTTTTACAGTGCTGTTTCTCCTTCAGAGCCTTATTTTTCCCCCCTTACTAATCTGGCATGCTATAAAAATTAAGGATTGGTAGCAAGAAATTAGAAGAAAGAAAACTGAGTAATTCATTTGCCAGGTATTTTCCTCATACCAAACACATATGCTACAAACATAAAGTTCTCCTTTTTTGTTGTTGTTGAACACTATAGGAACTTTTTTTCAATTTAGTTTAATTTAAAAAATCATGGTCAATAAACTATAAAATGGCAATACTTTGGACATACTATAGGTAATCATTATAATTATTTAAATCTCATAAGCTAACAAACACTGAATAGTATGATTTTATATCTTTTCAAAAATTTATAAATATATATACTCCTATCTAATAATAAGACAGTCTTCTTCCACATACAAAATGGATGTGACACATCTTCCTTTGATTTTTATCAGGCTCGGAACAAGGAAGATTGTTGTGTACCATCTGGTAGTTATCTGCACTTCTTGCATTATCTTGTAGTTAGTTATTCTTCCTATGGATTAGCACTTAAATATTTGTATTAAGTATTGAAATGCTGCTGTCATAGGTAGAGTAGGCAAGAGGGGAGGAGCATTACATACTACAAACAGATTTAACTTAAAAGGCACCACAGGGCTGGCTGCTCAGCATTCAAAGTCCTGGTTTTCTGAGACAGCTCCCTTGTCTAGAATTACATTAGAAAGCAGGTAACTATCACAATGAAGACCTAAGAGGTCTAACTAACTGTAACTGATAGATGATTTTATCTCTTTAGTTGATTCTTGTAACTGAGCCTTTTTGGACGTTGTTTGGGGCCTTGCTGAAATAATAAAAGCATTTTGAACAGCCAGAAGCCCACTGCACAATGTAGCTTTGTTGTTTGGTTTTCCTTCTCAGACTTTGATGTCTACTGCTATCAATTTTGCTTCTGCAAGACTTGAATGTGATTCCCCATATCCTAGCCTATCCATACCTGTGTGTGTGTGTGTGTGTGTGTGTGTGTGTGTGTGTGTGTGTGTGTGTGTGTTACTAAATATATAAATATAATCTATTTAGGCCATATAATGTTACTTGTATGTGTATATTTTCAGGGCTGACCATTTGGTATTGGGTAACTAATTCTTGTGCTCTTTCCTGGGGAAGGCTATTTCTCTGGCTCTCTTCATTCCTTAGTTTCCTACAGTTGTTTATCTAAGTTGAAGCCTTCTGAACTTTCTCCCTTTCACATTACCATGTCTGTTGGTGTCACTCTTATTCAGGACATGTTTACACAGCCAGTGTTGGTGAGACTATATGGATATTGTTTCTCTGACATTTAGGAGACACAGTCTCACAGAAAACTTCTGTTCCTTGGATTCTTACAATCTTCCCATCCCCTCTTCCACAATGATCCCTAAGCATTAGGTGCAGGTGTGTTATAGATGTATCACTTGGGACTGGGCTCCACAGCTCTGCATTTTAATAGACTGTAGGTTTGTGTAATAGTCTCCATCTGTTGCAGTTTTCTTGCTGATGAGTAAATAAATATACTACACTATCTGTGAATATAAGGACAAATAGTAAGAATTTTGTTAGGTATTATGTTGGTTTAGTAAAGTGCTGGTCATAGATCTTCTAACAACCGTCATTCACCAGTGTTGAGCAATTAGCTAGGCTTCTAGTACAAGACATGGTTTCCCTCTTGTTGAGCTGGACTAATTAGAGAGCTGTTGGTTATGACTAAGGTATGCATGCCACTGCTGCATCCTTAGGGTTATGGCACCATGCTGGTCATGGTTGTGCTTAATTGGCATCATAGCTGGGTAGGGCTATTGGCTGTTTTTCTCCTTTGGAAGCTTCTGGTACCATGAAACCTAGTCCTCAATGAGGAGGCTTTCAAGGTCAGATCCAGCTTGGGGCCTCTGAGTCATTTGTCTAAAGTGCGTGGTGCCTTCAGCAAGAGGGACTTACCTTCCACCTCTGGGAGGCAACCAAAGACAGTAACAACAGTGTACAATGTATGAGGAGTCTCCTGGACATCCCTGCCCAACAGCCCAAAAGAGGACTTTACATTCCTGGTGCTGGGGTTTTGTTAGCTAGTTAATGGCTCTTGGGAAGAGCATTGTCAGCCCAAATGGAAAAGTTGCATTTAAAGTATATGTGTGTAACTGTACACAGACTTACATATTTTGTAGGTATTTTTGGTAGACAGTTAAGAGCATACTTCCTTATAGTTTTTCATTCTTACTTTATCCTCTTTTCTGCCCTCCCTCATCTCTCCTTTTCCCATGGACCCTTCAGATCACTTGAATCCCGCTGTTCCCCTGTGTTGCTCCTCCCCCAACCCCCACAGTGGTTTCGGTTTACATTCCTAGTTACTCCAGGTCATTTACTCACATCTGAAGATTTGGAGCTGGGAACATGAGCTGAGAGAGAGCATACAACATTTGTTTTTCTGGGTCTGGGTTATTAGTTCTTTTGTTTGCTCTTTTGTTTTTAGATGTGAAAGTATTCCAGAAATATCTTGACTTTAAAAAAACATTTTAAGAGCAGATAAACTAACAATTAATTAAAAGGAAAAACGGAAGTAAATTACAAAACTACAGCAGAATTTTAATATGTAGAGGTACCCACGTCCTCGTTACTGTTGACGTCTGTACTGACACAGTGATTCTCAGTCAGGTCAGTGAGCACAAGCCACATGCGGCATCCAGTGTGTGAATGTGTGACTGTCTCAATGGAAATATGGCTTAAGTGCGAAATAAAAGACTGGATTTCAAAGACTTTCCATAAAGAAAGAATGTAAAGTATATCCTTAATAAATTTCTCCGTAGTTACATTTAATCATTTGTTTAGTGTATGTGTATGTGTGTTTAAATGTGTCTGTTAGAAAATTTTTAATTTTTAAGTTTTGTTCTTGTGGCACACATTATATTTTTTCATAATGCTTGTCCAGACCATCTGTATGTCTGTGTTTATGTTTTAGAAATAACACCATCTTAACAGGAAATCTTTTGAATAATTTGAACAGCAATTCCTTTTTTTATTTTCTTGGTATTTCATATGTAGTTATTCAATATCAACATCTCCTTTTGACTTCTTGATGTTGTTCCCAGTACTACAGTCCTTTACACTATCCCTTTGATTCTAGAAAGTCTCCTAGGAATTTAAAGTGATAGTTACCTTCACTGTCTCGGTGAAGGCAGTACTCAGCTCCGTTCTGAATCACATCTTGTTACTAATAATGGCCTTGAATGCTTAGATAGATCTTCCTGGTCCATGGGATTGCTCCTTTATTATTTCTGACAAAAAGTAGCATGATCCTTGATTAGTTTGTGAAAGGTCAGAAAATAGAAACCTGTTACATTAGCAAAAACAAAATGCTTTCTAGGTAAAGAATAAGGAGCAGAATCAGTTGTGAATTACAGTCTTGTGGAAGTTGCTTTTTAAAATAGATCATGAGTGGACTGTCAGTTTGCCAGGGTCTTTAACCTCTATTTTATTTTTCCATTATACTTGGGTCCAGGTTGTCATCAGCTACCATGAGTAACCTATGTAATTCCTAGAGAGAGAAAAGTTGCAGTTAGACATAATAGTATGGTCGTCATGGAAGCACCCGTTATCTTCATCAAGGCAATTCAGATCTGATTATTTAAAAATCTGTGTTGAATACCAAACCAATGGGATAGTAGCTGTAGCTAAATCATGGGATTGTCATTTCTGTCAGATGATTAGGGTTGCCTTGGAAGAGATACGAGCGGTTGAGCTGCGTAAATACTCTCAACAGAAGAGGAAAGGTCTGTCTGTCATGGCTAGTGAGACACAGCTTGTTAGCTTGATGAATCTCCAACTATTGAACCTTAACAGTTATATTCCCTCTCCACCCAACACCAGCATGCAAGCATATCAGTGTTTCAGAATTATGTCTCCAAGGGATATCTAAGCATATTGGTAATTTTCTAGTAAGATAAAATTCAGCCATTCTGTGTCTTAACTAGATCTCTCAGAGAAGAGTGCATGCTCTATTTTAAAGACCTAGGTGTTACCTAAATTAAATGCCTGAGTAGACATTAGAAAACATTTAGAAGTTTATAAAACATTTAGTGGGAATGTATGCAATTTAACATGTTAGACATTGTGCTATGCATTTAAATTATGGCATAAATATATCAAGATTTTGTAAAGTGTAAGCATATTTAATTTTTATTTGTCTGTGAGGAGCTTGGTACATTTAACTAATTAATAGTTTTAAAAGTAGCTGAAAATTTAAATGGACATACCCAATCTAGTGATTTAAGGACATTCCTGTCATGGCTATAAACAATATTAAATGGCAGAAAGAAGCAGTTTTTGCTTTTATGAAAAGAAGGGTACATTGGTGAATTTACACTGGCAGTTTAATGGTCATCCTGATATTTCCATTGTCGACATATTCTGAGCTCTTAGTAAACTCGTGAATAAGATTAGATGACCTAGAAATTGTTAGCGCTAAAGGAATTCATTTTAGGAGGACTCAGTGTGCCATCTAGTGGACATATTTAGTTTTCTGGTCATCAGATGTTCATGATTATTTTTACTTTTCCTGCTAAGTGCATTTGTCTGGACACCTTGTCCCTTGGCCTTTTTTGATTGTTCATGTTTGTGTTACAGATCAAGAAACTTTACAATTTTGCTATAGTTGTATCTCAGTTTTGAAAATTGTATTTCAAAGTGACTTAAACCATCAAAAACCAATCTAATGGCAATGATCTATTTGAGGAACAACACAGGTTAAAAATAAAGTATGTTTGGATTTTTTCAGTTTTGATTAGCTAAGAAAGAACCAATTATATATTATATATGTATAAAACATTAAAATGGTCATTTTAGTAATTTCTGTCTTTTTATTTTAACTTATTGTATTTCTTTTTCTTTAGAGAAATCCAAGGCCTGTCACTTACCAGTTCCACCCCAATTTAGATTACTACAAGGCCCGTGGAGCAGACCTTATGAATAAAAGCCGGTAAGTCCCTTGCCATTGACGGCAGTTATGAATCACAGTGTCAGAAGTCATCAGAAACTTCTGTGTATTTCTTGAGGATTATTTCCTAGATTTAACATGCTAACGCTGGTGTGTAATGAATCTTTGTTAAATAAATTGTCGAAGTTCTTTTAGGCATTATAAAACATATTTTTGTAACAGTGGTAATGTGAATTAATACAAGCACTATAGTAATCCATATGGAGTGCCCTCAGTACGCTAAGACTAGGTCTGCCTCATGACACACCTGTACCACTCCTGAGTATGTATCTATGGGGCTCCAAAACATCATGTTACAGAGACACTTGCCTATCAGTATTTATTATATAACTATTTGTAATAGCTAAGTTATGGAGCTAACCTAATTGTCCAACAACATAGAGGTGGATAAAGAAAATGTAACGTGTATATACAATTGAATTTTTTAAGCCACAAAAAGACTGGGAAAGGGGAGAAGAAGGCAGTATGGGGGAATATACTCAACATACAACATACACTTAAATGGAAAAATGTCCTTTTATAACACAGTATCGTGTACAATGAATGCATACTATGAATTTTTTTTAAATATACCAAAAATACATTTTGAAGTTATCAGCTTCATTTTTCTAACACTAATAAACCTGAATAGTTTCTACTTGGTATAATCTCTTTCTGGATCTTCACTGTTAAATGAAAAGAGGCAGTTCTATGATATATTTTTAAATTATTTCAGTAACAAAATTAAAATTGCATTTCCCGATTGGCTTTAGAACTACAAAATAAGCTTATAAATGCATCTTGTGTGATCAGTGATTGCATACATAGAACTCTTAAGGGTCACTGTAGGAATAAAAAACATTAAAATCGTACTTTTAAAAGAAATTAACATTGGCATAAAGGGTTGATGAACAGTTCTGTTTCTTCATAATACTATACTTAGATGTCTCAAGAGTTAACTTGTCAAACCAGAACCATTTCAAATTAGAATGCAATTTCAGAGTTTACTCTAGAAAACAATGTTAGCAATGATAAATGCTGCCAAGTTGTCCAAATTTTTTTCTTATTCGTTTTCCAGTGTGTTAACTTTTCTTGAGAATTCCAGCAGCCTAAATATACATTTATCGGGTGCATGCATACAGCGCGTTCTGTATTAAAATGACTGCCACTTCGGAACTGATAGCTTAAGAGCTGGGGGAATGTACAACAAAGAGACTGACTTTTAAACTGAAATATGAACCCTTTTATTACAACAGTCAAAACAGTATAATGCTACTACAAAATTACGCAGCCTTGATGGAAATGTTTGTCCCATAGTTTAATGTAATTATGAAACGAGTTCCATAGCCCTTGAGAGTTATCTGGAGCTCTGTTATATTTGTTCATTTCATCTAAGTCTTGTTTCACAACTAGTAACTAGTTCATTTAATTCAACAAATTTTATTGAATGTTGGACTCTGATTATTTTAGGCACCAAAAGTACTATATAACAATCATACTCAAATCCCTGCCCTCAGGAATCTTACTAACCATTCACTTGAGTTTCCTCCTCTTTATGTCAGGTAAATATACAAAAATATTTAGATTTTGTATGTTTGAAAGAAAAAAGAATATTAGGTTCATTTGTTATATAAGGTCTTTTTATCTGAAGACCCTTCTGGTTCTTGCCAAATAGACTACTTTCCTGAAACAGCCAAAGAAATCTCCGTTGGCAGCGGTTCATATTATATTGCCACTTCCCCGTGTCCAGAGTTCCCTTTGCCTTCAGTCGTCCAGTCTTGTGGGGATTTGTGCCATTGTCTCCTTCCCTCCCCTTCTCTCCACTCCTCCACCACAGCCACACTGGCCTCTCAGTCTTCCCTCAGCTTGGATGTTGGCACTTTGTCCCCTGCTGCTGAGCACTCCCCCCACCTGACCTTGCCAGGCCCTCTCGGGACAGCCCTGCCTAGTACCACCTCTGAAAGGACACTGCCTATTGCCAGGCTGTCTTCTCCTTGTCTGCTGTCCCACTGCCTTTTGAGAATTCATGTTTCAAAGTGCCACATCCTTCTTGGTATCTGTCATTTTTTGCCCATGATACCCTTAGCCAGCTGAGGTCAGGTACTTCTATCCTCACTCCCTCATGTCACCTGGGAAGATTTGAGGGAAAACACTCAACAAGTACTCACAGTGTGTGTGTGTGTGTGTGTGTGTGTGTGTGTGTGTGTGTGTGTGTGTGTGTTTCTTTTTTGATACTCTATTTCCAGCATCACTCTCCCACAAATGAAATGTTCTGTGTACCCTTTCCTTTCATGGTTTTATTTTACTGATTTAACCTGCTGTCCTTGAATTTCTCTTGTGTGGATATTGATGGTTTTTACACACTTCCTTGTAAGCATACTGAGATTCTTATACAAGTATCAATTGATGGTTAGGAGAAAGGTTTTTCATCATCTCTTTTGAAATTTTAGGGGTTTTTAGATTTATTTTTTATTTTTGTGTATCTATGTGTGCCTGTGTGAGTTTGGGTGCACCACATTATGCAGGTACCCACAGAGGTCAGAAGAGAACTTCAGATACCCTAGAAATGGACCTAGAGGCAGTTGTGAGCCATCATGTTGGTGCTGGAAATGGAACCAAGGCCCTCTGGCGGGGGGGGGGGGGGGCTCTTAACCACTGTGCCATCTCTACAGCCCTTCTTTTGCAATTTTAAAGCTTCAAATTGAAATTGGGTCCATTTTAAATGTCATTCTTATTACGTAGAAAATATCAGAGGCCAGCGAACTAGGAAGGAGTTAATAGATGGCAATGGAGATGTTGGCAAAAACATATTAAAATAAATTCCAAAGGACATGCTATGAAGAAACCAGAAATAAAGAATAACCTGCCTTTCTAACCAACAACCTTAACTCGTAATGGGGAAATTACTGATGAATTGAACTGTGCAGCATTTTTTTAATGTTTACTATGCTTCTGTTCAATTATCTGTATGTGTATATATATGTATGAGAGTGTGCACATGCCACAGCTACCATGTGGAAGACAGAATACAACTCGAGAGTCAGTGCTGTCTGTCCAGGGTTGTCAGGCTTGGTGACAAGCACCTTCGCCCACTGAGCCATCCCTCTTGCCACCAATGCAGTGGATGTTTTTGAGTAGATGCACTCAAAATATAATACTCTGAATCAAAAGGCAAAGACAAAATACAAAATGTAATAACTGACAAAGTATCAAATTATTAATGAATAAAGAACATACATGGTTCATTAAAAAGCACAAGGTCTTCTCTGTCAATGCCATGCTCTTTTTCCTCCCTCTCTTCCTCTAAATGCCAAGACCCCTTTCCAGGCTTTTGAGTCTGTACTCATTCACTATAGAACCTCAGTTTAGGTCATGACTTTGCTTCTCATTAAGGCCCCTAATTTATGTCTTCAATTTTATCCCTTCTCTAGACTCACATAGTCCACTGTTTATTTATTTCCTTAGATTTCCAGTATACAGACTCAAATGTAACACTTTTCAGAATGAGTTCTTGATTTTCACCTCCATGCCCATAAATCCATCCCCCGTGCTGCAGGACAATTAACAAGACCGAAGTGGAACTCCATCATGGGAAGCAGTACTACCCAGGTTTCTTAAAATTGCCTCCAACTCCTGTTCTCTCTCATATCACACATGAAGTCCACCAGCAAATCCTCCTCAAACTGTGTCCTGTAACAAACGACTTTCCTCTCTGTACTGCCAACATCAACCACATCAACAGATTGCTCACCTCACCATTTGGCTCCCTGCTAGTCTTTCTGCTTCTCTCTTTTTTTTTTTGTTTTTTTGTTTGTTTGTTTGTTTTTGTTTGCAGACCCTTTTCTACCCAGCAGCCAGATTTCTGTAAGTCAGAGTATGCCATCCACTCCTTAGAGCCCCTTAAAACCCCTAAGACAAGATCTAACAAAAGCTTTCTCATGCTCTGCAGTGCAGGTACTGCCTTGCTGTCTGCTGTCTGTCTGTCCAGCCTCATTACACATGTTCACTGGGATTCAGGCATATAACGGCCTGCTCTCTGCTCCTCATGCACATGACCTGGTTTTTTCCCACGCCTGGGGTGTTCTTCTCAAGAGTCCATATGGTGCACACTACTCAGTTTCTGTTCAAATTCCTCCTCTTCAGAGAGGTTCCTTCTCACTGTCTGTATCCAGTACTAGACCCCTTCACTCTCTGTCCTAGGTTATTGTTTCTGTACTTTTTATATCAAAACTGCATAAAGTGGTATTGTATTTATCTGTCTATATATCTATTTATTTATGTGCTTATTGATTGTGAGAATGTTTCTGTTTGTTTCCTATACTAAATACAAACTCCATAGTTGTGTTTTTAAATGCACTGCACCACTGTTGTATAGCACTATCCTCCAAGCCAAATGGCCTACATCTTAAGGAGTTCTGCTGTGTCTGCTTGCAAACATCATCTCAGCTGGTGTGGTTACTGATGACATTCCCTGTAGATAAGGGGGTGGGGAGAGTCATGGGATCTTCACTTGAGTATCCAGCCATTCTTCCCATTCTCCCCAACCAATTGTATGCAGTTCTGCCCTGATTGTTCAGGCCCTCGGGGGTTTTAGAGAAGGGCTAGGGGGAAAAAAAAAGACTAGAAGAAGGGGCTCAATCTATGTGGCTGTATGAAAGCCATCTTCCATGCTGTATGAAGATTTTCCAGTGTAGCTACTGTGGAGTCACCCACATGCCTGCGAATAACCCCTTGTCTGTGTTCTGTAAGCAGACCCAATAAACTTACTGGTTCCCAGGGTGAACTTTTGTTGGGACCATGCCCTACTTTGTAACTGGAACCTTAGGAGGAGGGGAAGACACTGGATTTTAACAACAGCCACCTAATGTTGGAAGGTCCTCTCAAGATACTGAAGGAAAAAAGGATAATAATCAATATCACCCAGCTTCAAAATCTGTAGCCTATACCAGCAACCTGCCTAAAAAGTATACTTGTTAATAGTGGCACAAATGGTACGGGAGTAA